TAGTTATGGTGGTTGTTCGCGGGTGGAACCATGAGTGGCTCTTTGGGCCTTACCGGTGTGGCTCATTTGTATTTAGTTGAAGATATTTTAGAATATTTATGCCCTGAACCATAATCAAACCAAGCGCAAAAACAAGATGACGTAAAGTGCTACTCGACTATGTTTTGGTAAGCTACCTCAATGGAACTCTATGAGCAAAGGGCCGTAGTTGTTCAAGCCCCAGTTTTGCAGGTTTACAGGAATGTCATGGAAAATCGCCCCAGGAGACCTGGCGATGAACTTGCAAAGTTTTATTTTAGTTTGTACCCTCTTACGAGTCGTTTGTATACCCCTCAAGCTGTTTTCGTGGTATACTGCAAGCGGCGGGTAGGATGGTATGCTGGGTTTCATTATGGTCACAAATATCTTTAGTCATTAACAATATCACTTGCTCGCTTTGCATTGGCCTCTCGATTCCGGTTTCGATCAATACTTTATATCATTCATCGCTGGATCGAATTAAGAAATTTCTATGCTCAAAAAAGATTGGTCATTCGGGGATCTTTATTCGAAAAGGTGAGTCTTCTAATATTAGGTTGGTTTCTACTGACAATGAATACTCAATATTCTAAGCTGTGTCCAGGTTTGGGCAAATGTTAGACAAGTATACGCACCTAAACAAAAATATTCTAATGACTTCAAGTAGTAAAACACTTTAGCCGGTCACTCACCCCCACTCCAAACACCGAAAATCGCGTCAAGTCACAGTCACAAAAGCTGTAATTAATATGAATAAATGGTTTTATTGATAAAATCTCATTCTTTAGTAGACTTTACTAACAAAATACATTGCATTTCCTCCAGAGGCAAAAGTTCCGAAAATGACTCACTCAAATTTGGTTAGTTCTTTTCGAGAAAATACTGCGAACACAAGATTGCACAATAGTGACGGACAGGCGCAAAGAAACCGAGAGAAAAGAAAATATTGATCAGATGAATCTCATGCACGTTTTCGAATGTTTTTCGGAAATTAAGAGCTCCCTAAAAAACATTGCTTTGACGTTTTGGCAATGGCTTTTTATAATTACAATTTGCATTCAAAGTTATTTTAAACTATTCCGTTAAGGTTTCTGTCGTGAGCCGAAAATCGTATTATTTTTATTTTTATCGTGATTTAAATTTTTATTCAAATCTCGGATTGTTTAAAATATTTTCAATTTTGTTTAACATTTTATCTTTTAGATCTATGGAGTTTCCTTTGAAGCGCGCCACATATGCAAGTCAAAAAGGTGAATGGCCGAGATCGGGGGAAACACATTCTCGCACAATTCGACGACGATTCGATCATCGTATATCAGGTTTTATTTCTTTTTACTTTATTACTTTATAACATAATAACGTTTATAACAAACAAAACATCAACTAAAATGCATGCGGAACCGATTAAAGTTCAATTAAGTCGACTTGGCAGCGTTCATTTTGCTCCTTTGCTATGATCGGCTTCACAACAACTCCTCTTTTTGGCGTCCCCTTCTTTAATTCACATTCCTGGCAAAGTTTGATAAAAATCTCGAGTATTTCCTTTGAGATCCCGTGATAATCTTCTCGCCGTTCTTTCCACATCAGAGCCCAGCCGGTGTGTCCTAGTCTTTTGTGAGTTGACGTCAAAACATCGAAGAGTTCCTCTTTCTTGACGACTCATTTTGGTTTTTCGTTCCTTTTTCTCCATGATTGTAGAGTATCGTTGATTGCTCAACACATTGCTCAACACACAATAAAACGGTTAGGTTTCATTAAAAATATACCATTTTGTTAGCGAATTCTCGTCCATTGTCGGATTGAAGAATTTGTGGGGCTCCAAAAGTGCCAAATATTTCTGTCAAATGATCGACCACCTCAAAAGCCGTTTTTGTTTTGAGAACCTTAAGAATAACAAATTTTGTGAGGTGATCCTGATAAACCACTTGTAGAAACTTGTTGTCGCCGTCCGGAACCGATTGAAGATCAATTAAGCGTTTATATTGCTTGGCAGCGTTCATTTTGCTCCTTGGTTATGATCGGCTTCACAACAACTCCTTTTTTGATGCCCCCTTCTTTAATTCACATTGCGAGCAAAGTTTGATAAAAATCTCGAGTATTTACTTTGAGATCCCGTGATAATCTCCTCGCAGTTCTTTCCACATCAGATTCCGGCCGGCGTGTCCTAGTCTTTTGTGAGTTGACGTGAAAACATCGAAGAGTTCCTCTTTCTTGACGACTCGTTTTGGTTGTTCGTTCTCTCCTTTGTCTCCATGATTGTAGAGCATCATTGATTGCTCAATACATTGAATCGAGTAACGACGTGCCCAATTTGCCTCTTCTGTCGTTCGCTTCCGTTTCTCATTTTCACTTTCACTTGACATTGTTGTCAATCTGTTCACAATTTCCTCGTATTCTTTCGTCGTTAGTATACGCGTTCGCTTTTTCAAGACTTGATACGCGTCAAATTGGTTGAGAAATGAATTGATCCTGAAAAAACAAATGATTATGTATAATAAAACCAAAGAATAATAAAAAAAGCAGAAAGAAAATGAATCCGAAATCACTGATAACAATGGGGCGGAGTCCTCCCGGAGGACCCAATTTCAGCAAAGGGGCATTTTGACTACTTTTAATAACTCGCTTCAAAATCAATTTTTTTCCCTTTTCTTTTTTTGCATAAAAAATTTGAAATCAAGATCATGATAAATTCATTTGAATCTAGCCATGTTCGCAGAAGCCGATTACAAAGATTTCGTACACAGCTAGTGAAAAAATTTCATTCGTAATCTGCTAGCCGCTAACGAATCATTCGTAAACGGCTAGCCGTTTACGAATAAAATTTTTCGCTAGCCGTTTACGAATGATTCGTTAGCGGCTGAATTTCGTCAACGGCTACGACATATAAAAGTGAATGCCAAAGACGCATCTCTTGATTTGATTGTGAGAAAGTCTATGTGATCGTGTTCTTTTAACACAGTCGCGACAATGCGTACCACTGGTGGGTCGTACTAACGACGATTATTTTTGGTGTTAACTCAAGTTTTTAAGGACTTCTGTTAGTTATTTTGTAGATAGTTCTCGGTAACTTTGTACTAGTTTTCAAGAGGAGATTCAGGGTTTGCAAATGAGCTATAATAGTTTAGTTTATCTTTGAATGTTCACAATGTTATCAGTAAAACAGTAACGACTACGCTACTATACGCACGGAATAGTGTCGTCGCAAATGTGTTAAAGTCAGCCCCACATTGAAGTGGTTTTATCCGACTTTCATATAACATATATACACTCTGTCAAAAATTATAGACGCACCCTGTTTTTTGCTAGTTTAGAGCCGGATATAAGTGCTACTCCAGTGCAAAGTATTTTTTTAGTTTCTTTAATGTAAAAAAACAACCCATGCAAAATTTCAAGTCATTTCACTCATCCAAAGTACTTTATCGTACAAAAAACGTTTTATCAGCTGTCAAAAAATTATAGACGCACTTTTATTTTATCAAGAAAAAGTTAACAGAAATAAAAATAACCACAAACCAAATAAATTAATAATGTGTGGCCCCTCCTTGCTTTAGTCCAACTTCAAAAAGACGTCTCGGCATCGAAGAGACAAGGTCATGGAGCGCTGTTGGCTGAAGCCGATTCCAGGCTACTTGAATGGCTTTCTTGAGTTCATTCACGCTCGAATCCGGCTTCTTTCCCTTGTAGACATCTCGAACGAGTGTCCCCCACACATTCTCAATCGGGTTCAAGTCTGGGCTGCAAGCGGGCCAAGCGACAGTGCCGATTTTGTGCGCTGTCAGCCAATCTCTTGTGGAGCGACTTGCATGAATACTCGCGTTATCGTGTATAAAAGTAAAGTTATTGCCCGGATTGTTCTTCAGATAGACGGCTAGATGTTTGTCCAACACTTGTTGATAGTCAAGCGATGTCATCCGGGTCGAAATAAACTCTAAGCCGACCAGTTCACCGTCTCGAAAGGCTCCCCATACCATACATGATCCACCTCCAAAGTTCCTCGTGCTGAAGACCATGCCCGGCTTTCGTGAATCCTTCCAATATCCTCGAAAACCATCAGCACCATCAAGATTGAACTTCTTTTCGTCACTCCAAATGATCTAAACATAAAATACATAAGAAATACTAGTAAACCAACTCCTTCCCATTTGGTCTTCTGGTTCTTTTGAGCGAAATCGATACGGGCGGCTTTATGGTCCTTTGTAAGTCGTGGAGCTTGCTTCATGAGTTTGTATTTGAGTATTGTAGATCGTTTGACAACGTTGTGCACAGTTTGGCGAGTGACCGGAAGCTTCATCTCCTTGCGAACCTCTTCGAGTGATGTCGTCGTGTTGGAAAGACGTCTCGTAATTGCGCGTTCGTCTTGATCGGTCAACCTTTTCTTCCGGCCCCGTGTTTCTTTCTTCTTAGGAGTCATTTTGGTCTTGAGATACAAGCGAATACACTTCTCAGAACGTCCGATGCGATGAGCAATGTCCCTGTTTGAGTGACCAAGCGTGTGGAGCACATCGATACGCGTTTTTTCCACCACATCCAGTTGTTTTCCAAGTGGCATATCTGAAAATGTAAAAACATTTATAAACATAACTAATAAGCAAAAAAAATGAGAAAAAACTAACAATTATTGATAGAATAAATCGTCAAATAAAAGTGCGTCTATAATTTTTTGACAGCTGATAAAACGTTTTTTGTACGATAAAGTACTTTGGATGAGTGAAATGACTTGAAATTTTGCATGGGTTGTTTTTTACATTAAAGAAACTAAAAAAATACTTTGCACTGGACTAGCACTTATATCCGGCTCTAAACTAGCAAAAAACAGGGTGCGTCTATAATTTTTTGACAGAGTGTATGTAATTTGCCTCCTCTACACGAGTACTTAATAAATCTTACAACTCATCAAAATATTCATTGTACATAAAAACAAAAGCTAACGAAAAAAATGACCAACGAAATACAGTTCCGGCTTTCCTTCTTCTCCATTCTTAACTCAATTGATCCATCGAAAATTCAGCTGCTAAATTTATTTGATCAAAGAGACTTTTGATCTCTAAAAAATCTAGAAACTCAAGCAAAAATTAGAAATTTGCATTGAATATACTGCCTAACGAGAGTAAACGTTGATCGAAAGTTTGACAAGATTCAAATTACAGAATTCTTTTGAATATTTGCTTATATTTTGAAATTATAGTAACCGTACTCATTCTCCGATGCTCAAAGCCGGTCGGCCGGCCGAGGAACTCGAGAATCTGACTGCGATACGCCGTGTAGAGGGTGTTTGCCGAAACTAGCAACGAATTGCCCAAGATTAACGGAGTGAAGAAAGAGTTGATTCCTGAAAGATTTCTGTTCCTGAAGGTTTGCAAGGGTTGAAATGCTACACCAGTACAACTTTCGAAACAAACCATCAAAGTCCAACGCTAGTCCGAACAAGTTTAGCACATAGACGCTCATCCAAATGAAAGCGACCGTCGTGCAAGTGGCGTAAATGGGAAGCGCCTAAATTGGGATTGTGATTCTTGACTGGTTATCGGGCATTTGATAGGCGCCTCGCCCCTTTGCCACTGGCAATCTAACTTTGAGCTCAAATATCTTCGTGTTGGGCTGTCCAATTTAAATATCCTTGATATCATTAGATGCGCCAAGTCTTTCTTTGTTGATTGACACAAAAATGATTTAAATTGGAGAGCCCAACACCAAAAAATTTGAGCTCAAAGTTAGATTGCCAATGGCAAAACGGGCGGGGCGCCTATCAAATGTTCCACAATCTTCCTGACTCTGACTAGTTGACAAACCATGAACATCGATGAATAGACGGCTCTCTTGTGTAGTTCCTTGGTGAGTTGACTGTGCTGATGGTTCTTGCTCAAACCATAGAAGATTCTAGAAACTTTTCTGTATTTAAAGCTACGCAATAAAGTTGTTAATTGTACAGTTTTATCTGAATACAGCTACGGTAAACCTGTTCCAATCGACCTTACAATTAGAGCTCGTAGGTAGAATCAAGCCAAAGCTCGGCCAGCAGGGCATCAGATTATGATCTGCACTCCAAGTTTGGTGAGTCCAACTTTTAGCAGACTAGTCCTGCAGCAAAGCAAGATCAAGACAGAACCTGACTTTGATCTTGACATAATCAACTGTGATTGATCCGGAAAATTGTCCTCGGGACAAAGCTGATCCACAATTTAAAATTATAATCTATTTCTTCACAAACTTATAGATAAAATAGGCTCCAATCCAGAGCAGCCACGTCGCCGAGCACCACCAGTAAGCAAACGCAGCGAAAAAGGTCTTGTTCCAATAAAAGTTGACTAGAATTACGTTTGGGCTGAACAAAGGCGAGTCAGGCTAAGAATTGAAGTTCTAATTTAAAAATGATTTTCTTCTTACCGGGACTTCTTGCGGAATATCGTTTTTCTCTACTTCTGACCAATGGAAGAGAATGTAAAAAGGAACACTGAACAGATAAAAGAACACTTGAATCAAATGCACGTGTTTCTCCGGAGCATAATGTCTTCTAAACATCTGTTTCTCAACTGTATTTTGTGTCTTTTACCCAAATCTTCTGCGTTTGATCAAGTAAAAGCGAAAAATAAGGCACATAACGATGGAGATTGTCATCGTTTGCAGCGCGAAAAGACCGGTTTCCTAAATAAATATTTGGTTACCAAAGAAGTTAGATAAAATTTTCACTTTACTCAGTTTTGTTAGATTAGAATAACTTAGGTTTTTTTTATATTGATATTAGCAAATAAAACTTACCACCAAAATTATCGGTTTCACTCCCCAGGCGGCGAAAACTCCGTTAATTTTGATCGCCAAATGGGGAAGAAGTGTCGAGAACTCTCCATAGACCAAGACGGTCTCGACGATCATGAGACAAGTCTAAAAGATAATGAAATCAAGGATCTACCATATATAAAGAAGCAGTCTCTGTCAGTCCACCTGTACGGGCATTTTCTCGGCCGTGTTTTGATCTATAAAGCTAAAACATTTTTAGAAAACCTTAGAATATATTGTAGTTGTGCCATTTCAAATAAAAAATATAAAAATCAAAATTGAGTGGCACTATGGGCGGTCGAACCCGGCCTGTGTGGGCCGTGTGGGTCATAGACAAGAGCGCTCCCGACTGCGCCACGGCGACAAAGACTATCCCAAAGCATCCAGCCACAAAAACTCGCCGTTGGGTGGGTTTTTTGGCTGATTTAACTATATTCATTCAGATAAATCCTAATTTTAAACCCTTCTTGATTCTCTTGCAATTAAAAGTACCTATTCACTAGTTAAAAGACACATGTTTGGTGAAACTTTTTGACTAATTGTCTAGCTCTTGAGCCCCTTATTTCGACCAAAACCAAGCTCCGATACTAATGAATAACTCAGTACCGCAATGCTACTGAATTTTTAACAAAAATTTCTTTTTTGATCTCATTCCTTACTTCTTTTTCTAGCATGATCAACTTCTTAATACCACAATTACTAAACATAGGAAAATTCCAAGCCCAACCTAATTCCACCTTCGTTTTCTCAACCGTTTCTTAGCCGTTTGCTCTGAAATTTTGTCTACAAGCTGAAAATGCCGATTTCTATCTTTAGACAAAATTTCAGAGTATTCGGCCAAGAAAACGATGGTGGAATTGGGTTAGGATTAGAATTTTTTCACTTTAAATTAATTCTTACATGTGTCGACAAGAGATAATACGTTTGCGCGACGGTGTCTCGACTTTTCCTCAACCAAAGCGTTTTCACTACCAAAACGTAGACGCAAAGACAAACGAAATGCATAATATATGTGTACATGATAAGTACTGGAGGTTCTGTTGATTCTTCTGAGGTTTCCATTGTTGTTTTAGAGTCAAAAAAGAAGGTGGCTGCTCGGACAACCAGACTATCTCACCCTAAAAAAAACTCAGGAATTGGGCAAGTCAAGGCAAGAAATTTCAAATTCGTTCTAAAGCTGAATATATTTAAGTTCTAAAAATTCTTTAGCTGTTTAAAGAAAGAATACTTGATTACTGATATTTTAGGGTTATTTCAGCCGGTCACCTGACCCCTTTAAACCGCAAAATTTCACCTGTCAATTTCCATTTTATCAATGAAAACTTATTTTTTCATACTTTTTATTTGATTAATCTTAAAATTAGATTCTGTTTTAGTTTCGTTTCGAACTTTGCGACGGTTAGATATATTGGGTTGGTGAATTGAAAACTGCGGGCTATTGTCATATGTGACAGTTTGAGCACTTTCTTCAAAAGAAACCCATTTTGTTGTCAATGGAAAAGTTGTAGGAAATCAAAAATTAAGCTTATATCCAAATTTTCAGAACGATTCAAAACTGGTTTTCAAGAAATGCTAAATTTACGAATTTTCACAAAACTTGCATTTTAAGCGAAACTACTAAGTGGATCTTTTTGGAAATTTGGCTATAAGCCTAATTTTTGATTCTCTACAACTTTTCTATTGACACCAAAATGGGTTTCTTTTGAAAAAAAGTGCTCAAACTGGGACATCTCCAGTCCTCCATTTTTGAGTCTCACACTTGTCTCACACACAAACCAAAATCCTACTACGAAAGAGGAATCCGCAAATTGCCTGTAAAATGGGCAGAAGTCGTCAATAATAATGGAAATTATTTGGAATGAATTGATGGCTTTATGTTGAATAAATTTTAGTTCAAAGTCCGGCAGTTTTCAATTCACCAACCCAATACGATTTAAAAATCTCAATTTGACTACGTCAAAATGAATTCGCAGAATTAGATCGATGTCTTGAAGAGCTTGAAGATCTTGAAGACATATCTGCTCCCTGTTATTAGACAAAATCCAACCATGGGTTAAGGAATTTTCACAAGATAGCGTTTCAATTCAAAATTAACAACCAAAGCTCTCTTGTAAGTAGAGAATGTGCCACAAAATACTTTCTTTCTAAGGTTTCCCAAAGACGTTCAATCGGATTAAGATCAGGATTCTGACTTGGCCAATCCATGACATCAAAATTTTGGTGAATCAACCATTGCTGCACAAGAGCTCGATGTTTCAAATCGTTGTCGTCTTGAAAAACAAAGTTTTAAGGCATAATCTGTTGAACGTATGGTAGCGTATGATTTTGTAAAAGATCTAGATACACTCTTTGCTCTATTATTCCAACAATTTACTTTAGCAGTACGATTCCGTGAGAAGAAAACCCTCTACAAACCATAACACCACCATTACAGTCGGGAGCAAGTACTTGGAACCAAATCTTTGGTTGACTTGCCTTCGAATAAACTTGGTTCCATCTCATTCAAACATCATAAACTTGCTTTCATCGGAAAAAAAGGAAATCACGTCAAAGCACGTCCAAAGCTGATGGTTTATGGCGAACTTGACCCGGGCTTTGCGGATCTTTGCAGAAATCAATGGTTTCTTTGCTAGAAGTCCTCCAAATAATCCAGCATGATCCAAAAGTCGCTGCACAATACGAGGACTTATAGAATTTTATCAATGAAAATGCATTTATTCATATTTTTTATTATAATTTTAAAATTAGATTCTGTTTCAGTTCCATTTCGGACTTTTAGACGATTAGATATAGCATTTATTCTCGGAATAAACAGTCATGATCAGGTGAAATTAACTTTTTGGGAAAGTAATATCTCTACTTGGTAAATGAAATGAATGAAGCGATTCTGAAACTTTGGCACAATCAGCTCATTTTTAGACAAAATCAGATCCGGAACCTGGTGCTAAAGTGCTAAAGGTGAAAAATTTAGATTTTACAACTTATTACTTAATAACTCATTTGTGACAAAGCCATTGCTTTATCTTTTGGGTCAAAGCTAGTGCTTGTGAAAATTTCGTCAGACCAAATCGGAAATTTCAACCCCAGAAGCACTTTGGAAATAAAAGTAAGCCTGGATTCGGATTCCTCATCCATTCGGAAAACCCGGGTTGCAAATTTGCAGCTTAATCTAGTAAAAACTTATACCAATTTCAAATGGCCCTATTGTTGTGCAAAAGTCATTCAAGATTTTGATTTTTTTAAATTTCTTGCTAAACTTTCACTTGTCAACTTTTAGTTTTCATCGTGTAGAAATGCAAAAAAAAACAAAAAATTCCAACAATCTTCACACCTCCGAAATTCACGAAAATTTAAACCAGTTGAAACCCGTTTCTGCAAAAGTTAAACCCGAATTTCATTTACACGGTCGAATTTCATTTACACGAATTTCATTTATTCTCGGTCGAATTTCATTTACACAAAATTTGCAAAAATTTAGAGCTAAAACTGGATAAACTGATGCTTACTTAAGCAAGAAAACGTTAAGAAATTAATTCTAATAGTGATTGTTATAAAAATAATGAAAAAAAGGTAAAACATGACCATTCCATATTAAAGTTTGTCTGCCTGATAAAGAATTTCTGAAATTCTCTCCACCTGTTCCTGCCGGTTTGTTTCATTTAAAATCTCCAGTTTCAGTGGTTTTGCTTGACAAGAAATTATCGAGAATCATTATATCACAAATTGGGCTCAAAATTGTTGCTGTGGCTGAGCCAAGCAAATCAGTTAGCTGTCATAGTGTCATGGTTGTTCCAAGCAAGTCTAATCCCTCAATTTTAGGCTCCTTACCAAACCGAATTAAATCAAGCTTTTAAATAATTAATTCACAATTTCAGACTACAGTCATGCATAAACGTATTGGCTTGGCTTTCGTGCACTTTTCAACTCCAATAAGTCCAAATTATTAAAAATTACAGAAAAAATTTCAACAGTAGTTTTGTAGCATTTTTATCTAGTTTTCAAAAAAGATAACAAGTCTTTATTTTTAAAATAATATAACAAAAAAAAGGAAAGCTGAGTGAAAAAAGGTAGACAAAAATATTGGTCTCTAGAGTGAAAGAAGAAAAAAATCAATATTTTGTAGGTCCTCCTTTGGTTGCAATCACTGCCTCAATTCTTCTTGGCATAGATCTTACAAAATTCGTGGCCCAATCGTTGTTCAAAGTTGTCGAATGAAGATCTAAAGTTCGACATTTGAAGGAAATAGCTTCCCTTTCAGTTTCGACTTCGACTCCACTTCGTAAGTGCTCTATTACATTCAAATCGGGGCTGTAAGGAGGAGCTGCAAGGAGGAATTTTGTGCATGAATGACTAAACAACGTAAAGTTAAGTGGAATAAATATTTGAATGAACTGGCAACACGCTGATTAGCTTTGAAATAAATGAATCAATGCATTGAAATTTGGTTTTGTAAGTAGAGAAGAGCCGTGCTTTCGGCGACCGTTTCTTTCTCGTTTAGCACGGAGAGACCGGGCTGATTGGAAGTCGTGTGATTGGGGATGACAACAACGTCTAAGTTTGAATCTTTTAAAGAATAGTAGAGCTTGATAGCTATCCTGTATCTGAGTTTTTGAAAATCTCGATATTTGTACAAGTTTTCCATTTTCAGCCGACCAAACAGAATATGGAAATCCGTCAATTAGACTTTAATTAAAATTCAAATCAATTCAGCCTTGTCAGCTGAATAATTTTCATTTCACTTTTTCAAATAGAATTGTTAGCCTTCTTTTCAACTTTCAATGCTCTAAATTCTTGAAATTTCTACTTTCAATTTTTTAAGACCCACCAAGTTTCCCAATTTGATACGCCGAGTCATCCATAAACTGTTTAATCCTTGACAAGCTCACATTCGATAAAAGCTCAGTGTTAAAGTAAACTGTTAGCTAAATTATTCAATTTTTATTAGTAATAAGCTAAATACCTTAAAATTATCATCATTTGAAGAAATCGATGGATAATCGGTGAGCGCAAACGAGACTTGGCCGGGTTGAATGGATTGGATTGGTTCAAAAGTATCCTCAATGAAATCACTGGACCTGGAACAGAAGAGAAATTGTTTCTGTTTGTTCTAAGGCTTTTATTTTGTAACTTTAAAAAATTTATGCTAACTTACATAGCTTTTGTGTTTGTGACAACAAAATTGCTCAATGCTTTCAGTGAATAATGGTGCCGAATGTGCATTGTAAAGTTTGCTGAATAGTTTGGAGTATCGAAGCATGGAAACGCATATCGACAGCCCTTGGGTGAGAAACGGTCGTTCACGAAGATGAGACCAAATCTGAAAATGAGAACTTTGTTGGTAACGATCAGATTCTCCTGGCTATAAGATATGACCAGCCAGGTCATGCCTTATAGCCAGGTAGCCAGGTAGCCTTATAGCCAGGCCAGGTTATGTCTTATTTCCCCATGTCATGGCCATGTCAGAGCCAAGTCAGGGTTTGACCAGGGCCAAACAAGGGTCAGACCATGAGTAGGGCCTAGACATGGGAAAATTCCAACCCGAACATAATACCACATTCATTTTCTCAGTCACTGCTTGACCGATTGCTCTGAAATTTTGTCTACAAACAGAGAATGTCAATTTCTATTTGTAAACAAAATCTCAGAGTAATCGGTCAAGAGATGGCTGAGAAAACGAAGGTGGAATTAGGTTCTGGTTGGAATTTTCCCATGTCTAGCCTGGGTTAGCTTGAAAACCTGGCCTAGGACCAGACGATTGATTGAATTGAGTACTCGGTTTACAAAATCAAATTTATCTCTAGGATTTGTCAATATCATAACACTAGTGGATATTGAGAAAAGTATTTAATGCCTTATTTATCAACAAGTCTTTCTAAATATCTTGAACTATTAAGGCAGCAGCTCAACTTTTTCTCTAAAGCCTACCTATTTGTTCCATTCACTTGATAAGAGTATTCAACGATTTCCGCATTAAAGATTCCATTGAATTTGATGAGCACATAATAATCACTGTGCATCGAAAAGTTTTGACCGGGAATGAATGATTGAATTTCGCTCTGAAACGATTGAAAGCTGAGCAAATATTTCGGTTTACCTCGCTATTATACGGTCCTTTCTTTAATGAAATCTGTTTTCCATTGGAGAAGAGTTGATAAGAGAGGAGATCCAAATTGGCTCCTCGATGCAAATAAAGTCTTTGGGTTTCTTCTTGTGGAGTGAAAGAGATGTTGACTGTACCAATAAAACCCTGGAATAAGTGTTGAGTTATGAAATCTCTTGTTCGAAGGTTAGCAAAGTTACATCAGTTTCATCCCTCATTGCAAATGACCCACAACTTCCCCAAGTATTGCACAAAAGACTTGAGACTCTGCCAAGCGCAAATGTATAGGATTTTGCCCTTTCTCAAAAGATGAATAGCAGCAGCTTGTTGTAATGTTGTTGTTGTTGTGTTTGACACTTAAAAAAACACAAAAGGCTTAGCCTACTTGTACATGCTATTCTCTAGGACTGAGTTATTATTTGAAAAGCAGTTTATGTAAACTTTTGCTTTTTATTCTATGAATACAAGTTTACTCACCGTTGAGCTCAATGTGTTCTCTGTTTTAAAATCCAAATGAACAGAGTATCCATTGGGTGAATTTATCGACGGCAAGCTTGATGGAACTTCTTCACGACGGATATCTTTTTGATTCAATGTTAAGAACAGAATCAATGCATAAATAAATCTAAAACAGAATTATTCTTTTAATCCACTCGTAAATCTAAAACTTACGAGCAAACAGTCACCACGAGAAGCCAGGTGACAAAAATCTTTGGCGAGCATTCGAAGTCAGACAAAAAAAGAAATCCTCTTTTCTTTTTAAAGAATTTAAATGTTTTGAAGGATTTAAATTGAACCATTTACATTTTACAAGTCAAATAATAAATATTGAATAGAAATAAAGGATAAGAAAATGGTCAGCAAGTCCTTCCTTCATCAACAAACAATGGATCTTGAGTGGGGCTGTCCATGAGAGAGAAAGAGAAAACGCTTTTTGTTTTGATGATTCAGCCATAGCTTTGAGAAAAGATGTTCTTAAAAAACGCTATCATCCAAGAATATAAAATGAAATGAAAAGTTGAATTGAAAATGGGATTGATATTAAGTTTTGTCTCGAGAGCCTCCAACTCTCTACTTCTTTGGCTCCAAGCGAAACAAGCGGCAAGTTCTTGACAAAGATACTCTCAAAAGAAGGCTTATTTTACGTGAAAAACTCTCCCCAAGTTTTGTGGGGCAATGTTAGACATCAGTTTTGCTGCTCTAAGCTGAGAGCTTCAGAATAGGGGCGCCCAATTATGCAAACTCGGTTTTTCGACTGTAACTCGACGCCCATTTATTCAATTCTCCTAATTTCATATTTCTATGAAATTTCAAGTTAATTACATCAATTTCAATCCTTCTGATTCCAAGTGTGAGCTACTAGAGATTTGGAAATGGGATTAATATTATGTTGTCGAGTTGTCTCGAGAGCCTCCAACTCTATGACTTCTTTGACTCCAAGCGAATCAAGCGGCAAGTTCTTGACGAAGAAATCCGAAAAACTTTACCCATCCCGAGCGAAAAGTGACATCAAAAGCTTTTTCCTCAATTACTGCCACGAAACTGCGGCTACATCTCGTTGCCGAGCAATCTCTGGACCAAAATTGTCATAAAATATTTAAACTTCGTGATTTGGGGTCATTTCCCTCATTGCTGTCTTGTCGAAAAAACTGAATCTGATTGATTTTAAAAAATATAAAAGAGAGTGTGACAATTCTAATTGAAATTTCTGATGAAGAGGAGACGAGAAGAAACCTTCATTTGTTATCGTCAAATTGTCTCAATTGGAGCTTTTGCTTTAGCATTGTTATATTTGTGGAGGAAATATCATATTTTGTGGCACATTCTCTACTTACAAGAGAGCTTTGGTTGTTAATTTTGAATTGAAACGCTATCTTGTGAAAATTCCTTAACCCATGGTTGGATTTTGTCTAATAACAGGGAGCAGATATGTCTTCAAGATCTTCAAGCTCTTCAAGACATCGATCTAATTCTGCGAATTCATTTTGACGTAGTCAAATTGAGATTTTTAAATCGTATTGGGTTGGTGAATTGAAAACTGCCGGACTTTGAACTAAAATTTATTCAACATAAAGCCATCAATTCATTCCAAATAATTTCCATTATTATTGACGACTTCTGCCCATTTTACAGGCAATTTGCGGATTCCTCTTTCGTAGTAGGATTTTGGTTTGTGTGTGAGACAAGTGTGAGACTCAAAAATGGAGGACTGGAGATGTTCCAGTTTGAGCACTATCTTCGAAAGAAACCCATTTTGGTGTCAATAGAAAAGTTGTAGAGAATCAAAAATTAGGCTTATAGCCAAATTTCCAAAAAGATACACTAGTAGTTTCGCTTAAAATGCATGTAAATTTAGTATTTCTTGAAAACCAGTTTTTGAATCGTTCTGAAAATTTGGATATAAGCTTAATTTTTGATTCGCTACAACTTTTCCATTGACATCAAAATGGGTTTCTTTTGAAGAAAGTGCTCAAACTGTGACATATGACAATAGCCGGCAGTTTTCAATTCACCAACCCAATATTTACTCATTCCATTAGGTCATTCTTAAAAAGTACATTCTTGAAAAAGATTGAAAAAAGATTTAAATTCTTAAAAAAATTTTGAGATTTTGGCTCTGGCCTTAAAAAAACATTTTTCTAAAACTTAATAAAGCTCTACAAAGAAACCCAACGTTTTTAGAGTATTCAGATTTTTTTAAAACAAAACAATCTCCTTTTTACAATTAGTCACATCTCTCATTCTCTTCATGACCTTGACTGTCTTTTTTTCAATCAATCATCGATAACCCCTTTATCTTTCTTTCCGCTCATAATCTTTTTCATAAATCCAAATTTTATTATTACGAAAAATAAGCCTTTTGTTGTTTTTTTATATCTTTTGTTTTTTGTTTTTCGAAAATTGATCAAAACTCTTGGCTAGACAACACTTGTTTACCAATTGTTTTGCTCAAAAAGCCAATTTTTAGAGATAATGGTTCAAAAGCTTTTCGATATGTTGGAATGGCACAACGTGCACACACCGCTTTTTCTTTCGACTTGGCTCTTGGCGATAATTTTATGTAAAATTTGTGAGTTTTACGGAGAAATGACAAGATTTACGGAAAAATTCTAATCAGAATCGTTTTAGTTTTCCATCACAATCATAAAATTGCAAGCAAATTTCCCGAGTCGGCTTTGTTAATCGTTTTGGGTTTGATTGTGGGATTTATCGTTGATCAAATATGGCTTCTCGATGTATATATGCATCCAGGTTTGGGTTTTTTTACATTCAAACTAGACATGACCGCTACAAACTACAAGATCAGATTACAAACGCTTGTAGAAATGCGTAGAATAGCTATTTTTACAAGCTGTTTTTACCAAAAAATCGAGCCAAATCTGGGCTTTTGAATGACACTAAGATCAAGCCAATCCACCATCAAGCCAATCCATCCAGCCAATCATTGCATCGTTCAAAAAGCTTACCCGAAAAATTCGATAAGAATTTAGCTTCAGTTTCTTTCTGACAATTTTCCAGACACTATTCTTGCTGATTTTCAACTCCAAGGCCATCTTTCGGATCGAACGAGTCGGGTTTCGTCGGATTTTGCATTGGATTTTTTTGCGTTCTCAGGCATCACAGCAGGTTTACGACCTCTTTCCTGTCGTTGAGGCGTGTTTCCAAGTTCCTTGTAGCGTTTAATTGCATCGTAGACTGTGCTTCGCTTGTAGCTGGTCGTTTGAACAATTTTAACTGGCTTAATTCCACGTTTGAATAGCTCGATCACTGTGATCCTCATCTTTTCTCGATCCATTGCTGGCGAACGGCAAACCCTGAAAAGCAAAATTGTTTTTTAAAACAAAAATACATTAGAAAGTATGATAAAACAAAAAGTGCAACATAATAAAACAAGTGTTAAAAAACTTTTTTAAAGAATCTGGGTTATTGTGGACACCCTGTAAATAGCATGTTATCAGAGTAGAGATGATGAATTGGTCTGATCTTGGTGTTATTCAAAAACCTAAAGTTGGCTCAATTTTTTGGTAAAAACAGTTTGTAAGAATAGCTATTCTACACATTTCTACAAGAGTTTGTAGTTTGATCTTGTAGTTTGATCTTGTTTGTAGTCTGATCTTGTAGTTTGTAGTGTCCACGTCTAATTCAAACCTGTGCTTTTATGTTCCAACCGGGCTCTAGGCCTTGTAAAACAGGTTAGGTCAGGTAAAGAAAGGCAGAAGTCAGGTCAGCCTTGTTTCTGACGGACCCAAATACTATCTGTGGATTAGTCAAGCAGTGCAAAGCCAGACAAGCCAGACCAAACAAGTCCAGAAGCTAGGCCAAGAGCTGACTTCTGATCTGGGCCAAGAGATTCAATGAGTCGTCCTACATTTTGACATACATTTGTTTTAAAAGGGTTTAATTCTACGTTTTAAATAGAATCATTTGGTTCATTTGGTTCAATTTTTCACCATTTTTGTTAATTCATGGACAATCGGTAAACAAAGGACGTTTATAACGTAAGGGTTCATTTTTTTTTGGTTTCAAAGCTGAATGAAATGCTGCCTGGCTAACTTAATGCAATGATTTAGCAATGTAGGATTAAAAATGAACTGTAAAATAAAGCTTTATTATTAATCTTTTATTCAGATCTTTTCTTTCTCTACCTCCTCCCACCAATCGCTCTCGATGCCGGTTATTTCCTACCAAATTCGGCATTTTTCTCAAATTTTTGGACAATAATTCTGTATGCTGTAGCTGGAACAATATTCAACATACTAACGATAGGTAAATCAATTTAAAAAATTAGAATATTTATTTTTAGGTGGCACAATTTGGATGTTCGAGAGTTGGTATGATCACCATTTGGGGATTCTCGATATAATGCTTTTCTCGACTCTCATTTCAGCCGTTGATCCAGTTGCTGTGCTTTCCGTTTTTGAAGAAATTCATGTCAATCAAGTATCACAAAATTTCTAATTCATTTTTCAATGCAAACTTAGTTGCTCTACATTTGTGTCTTCGGGGAATCGCTGCTGAACGATGCGGTAACAATTGTAAGTGCCTGAATTGATTCTAAAAATTGTTGTTGTAAAACTTATTCAGGTGCTCTATCATTCTTTCATTGGCATGGTGAAAATCGGGCCTGCGAACATTATGATTACTGATTTTCTCATGGCTTTTCTGTCTTTTTTGATGGTTTCTATGGGTGGAGTGTTGATCGGACTTGTCTTCGTCTGCATCACGGCGATTATGACCAAGTAAAGAAAAAAAAAGAAACGCTAACATTGATTCAAGTACAGGGTGGCTCATAATCTGTGTTACGCCTTATATGAAGGCAAATTAGATCGACAATATGTCAGATTGCTTAAAGTTTGTTATATTGGGTTGGTGAATTGAAAACTGCGGGACTTTGAACTAAAATCTATCCAACATAAAACCACCAATTCATTCCAAATAATTTCCATTATTATTGACGACTTCTGCCCATTTTACAGGCAATTTGCGGATTCCTCTTTCGTAGTAGGATTTTGGTTTGTGTGTGAGACAAGTGTGACTCAAAAATAAAGGACTGGAGATGTCCCGGTTTGAGCATTTGAGCACTTTCTTCAAAAGAAATCCATTTTGGTATCAATAGAAAAGTTGTAGAGAATCAAAAATTAGGCTTAAAGCCAAATTTCCAAAAAGATACACTTAGTAGTTTCGCTTAAAATGCAAGTTTTGTGAAAATTCGTAAATTTGGCATTTCTTGAAAACCAGTTTTTGAATCGTTCTGAAAATTTGGATATAAGCTTAATTTTTGATTCTCTACAACTTTTCCATTGACACCAAAATGGGTTTCTTTTGAAGAAAGTGCTCAAACTGTCACATATGACAATAGCCGGCAGTTTTCAATTCACCAACCCAATATTAGAGAGAATGCGGTATGCATGCTGCCAGACGATTTTATTTACGGAGCTTCTAATAGCCCTAATTTTTCTTATAACCGACCGATCGGGCTAAAAATTGGAATATAAGTGTAAAAATGTTATAAAAATGGCCCTGTAAGTACAAAGTAGCAAAAAGTTAGCAAAAACAATACAATTCCGAACAAGACAACTGAACAAGAAACAAGTCTGTAAAACTCTTGAACCGCTGACGAACAAGCTTAATACGTTTTGAAACGAATTATCTTGAAGGTTTGAGGTCAAGCAACAATTTCAGTTCGGGCTTGTTTTGAATCAATAAAATGTTTTAAACAAATTAGTTGGCCATACCATCGATGCATTTTTCACCGTCAAAATATTGTGTTTTGGATAAAGTACTATTAATTCCTTGTCTATTGAAGGTATTTCTTACTTTGATCTTCACCGCTGGCTAGAGATATTAGTGTCAAATATGGTTTTTGGCAAATTATTCAGTTTTTGCGTATTGTACAAATTATTCAGTTCTTTAGACTCTCAGTTGTCGTGCCAGTCGTTCAACCACTTCTCTGCTTGGTGCTCCCATTCTTATCCTACCTCATCGCTGAAAGTGTCCACTTGTCTGGGATTCTAGCGTAAGTCCTAGTTCTGGAATCCTAGGTTTGCAAATCTAAATCCAAGCTAAAAGCTATGCAAGATCAGCTCAAGTCAAGAATTATAGCATATAATTTCAAAAACTTTAGCATTGTCACTTGTGGTCTCCTCATGAAGCCCTACATTGCAGGAAATCTCAATGAGCAATCCTTGACCACTGTTAGATATTTTCTGAAAACGATCACATCAAGGTAGAGTGGAAATTTAAAGGTCTATTTCTTTAAATCTATTTCCTTTTCAGTTCCGAAGCAATTATTTTCGTTTTCCTTGGAATGTCGACATTTTCAAAAAGGCACATCTGGGACATTCTGTTCACAACGATCACCGTTATCGCGTGTATTCTCTGGCGATTTGTAGGTAATTTGCCACTAATTGTTGAAATGTTCACTTTTTTCGAGGAGTCTACCTATTTACATGGATCGCCAACAAGAAAAGAGTCAGCAAAATTGGGTACCTCGATCAATTCATTATGGGATACGGTGGATTGAGAGGTTTGTGAGGATTGAAGATTGTTAACAATGTCGTTTTGAGTGTCGCTATGCCCAAATTCCTGGAATTAATTTTTCCCCCAATTTTGGTTGTGTTTTTGAGACAAAAGCCACTACGGTATCACTGTAATTACAGGAAAATTTTTAATGCTTATCGAATTGGCCGAATTGCTTAGCCAACCCCTTTATCACCTTTTCATTTTTGTTTTAAGACTTCCCAGCAAGAGAAGTTTTGTCCGAAACTTTTGCTCACAAAACGAGTACAATTTCTTCTGAATTTCTGATAGAAATACATAAAACTCTTTAAATTTTCCTCTTTAAATTAAAATCAAAGGCTAAAGCTTTATATAAAGAGTTTAAAATTAACACATTCACGACGACGGCATTTTGAGTGTACAGTCGCGTAGTCGTTAACTGTTTTATTGATAATTGGGTGAAGATTCAAAGATAAACTAAGCTATGATAGTCATTCGATAGCCCTGAATCTCCTCTTGAAAATGAGTATAAAGTTAGCGAGAAATTTCTACGAAATAAATAACAAAAGTTTTTTGAAAACTTGTGTTGACATGAAAGATAATCGTTATTAGTTTGGCTCACCGGCGGGCCGTATTGTCGTGAATGTGTTAAAGAACGCAATCCAGCGTCCAGTTTATCCAGCGATTTACAGTATCAAGTTTGTCAAAAATTGAAAAAAGAAAGGCCGAGACCAATAAGTTTGAGTGACTGGGGGTGGGACAAATGCGCCTTTTTTTTGCGCACCTGGACATTTGCGCACCTTTTTTTGCTGGAAAAGGCCTTAGGAAAGGTCGTAGAGCTTCAAAAATGTTTTCATAGAAGGGAATCGTATGCGTAGATTCGGAATTTCGACAAATCAGACCTCGCTTACACGTCAAATTTGGGCTAAAAGGCAAAAACTACGCAACTTAACGCTTTTCCGCAGTTTTTGCCTTTTAGCCCAAATTTGACGTGTCAGCGAGGTCTGATTTGTTAAAATTCTGAATCTACGCATACGATTCCCTTCTATGAAAATATTTTTGCAGCTCTACGACCTTTCCTAAGGCCTTTTCCTAAAAAAAGGTGCGCAAATGTCCAGGTGCGCAAAAAAAAGGTCGCATTTGTCCCACCCCCGAGTGACTAACAAAAAAGACAAGCCGCATCCAAGGTCGACTGACCAATGGGTCAAAATTCATGTGACCCAGTGACTTTTTTTTCACTTTAGAACTGCTTTTGGATGTAATTTTGTAAAATTGAATGTAAATCGCTGTTAAATATTTAGCACAATTGGTAATACAGTCTAAATTTTGCATTTTGATTTGTCAAAGATGGTTTGATCAATCAGTAACACCAAAAATCTCTTTTCTTTAGGTGCAATCTGTTACGGTTTGGTGATGACTCTAGATGAGAAGATTATTCCAACAAAAGATATGCTTGTTACAACAACAGTAGTTGTCATTGTGATCACTGTATTTGTACAGGTGAGTATTTCTAGGATCACAAGGCTAGATTGGGTGAAAAATTAAGGTTTTCTAGAGCTAGTTTCATAAACTAAGCCAATTTAGGGTACCACAATTAAACCGCTCGTCAAGTTGTTGGGCGTGAAAACGCAGGAACCCGCAGCAAAAAGTTTAGCTCAACAAATCGTTGACCATGTAAGTTTTTCGGTTTTATAAATTGTTTCCTGAAATCAAAACAAACAACTATCACATTTTAAATGAGCAGGAAATCATATGACTTTGACTAGAATATATCAAAACTGCAACTGAATAAATAGTCTTTTAAAACAAAGTGAAAAACTGTGAAAATAAATTTTTAGAGTCGTGACGATATGATGACCGGAATTGAAGCAATTGTTGGGATAAGAGGATCTAATTATGTAAGAGTTTTGAAGCTAACAAGGAGTCTTTGAACCTTTTGACATTTGATACATTTAGGATATTAACTGCTTAACTATTAAGTTCGCAAACCCGACTTTATAGATCTTTTATTTTAATTTACAAAGAGTCAGGATAAGTTGTTATACATTTTTGAAATGAAATAAAGCTCTAAAATCTGAGCTCTAAAAGCTAAAATCATAATTTTGATTGTCTTTAGCTTTAGAGTTTCCAAGCAGTTTGTGGAGGTAGCGAGGATGGTATAAGAGCTAAAAGTGTTACTCTTTGACCAATGGTGATCCTAGGAATTGTTTAAAGGAAAAAAGAATAGTAGTCAGAGGTTAAGCACACAAAAATTATAGCAACTACTTTCAGAAAGAAAGAAAGTTTTCAGTTTTTTCTTCTTTTTCTTTTTAGCTTCATTCAACCATTATGAAATAATAATACTAGAGCTTAGAGCTTATGAAATATGTAATAATCAAAGCTACAAAGTAAAAGATTCTACTATCATCAGAAATCAAAAAAACTTGAAAATATTGAACCGGATAAGCCGGATGATTGTGGATCAGTTAACTAAAAAAAATAGTTGACTGTCTGGTTCAAAATGTCTGGTTTAATATGTTTCAGAACAAACAAAAAGCTAATAAGAAGTCGTTTAACCTTTTGACATTTGATACATTTAGGATATTAGCTGTTTAACTATTAAGTTCGCAAACCCGACTTTATAGAACATTTATTTTAATTTACAAAGAGTCAGGATTGCACATTATACATTTTTGAAATGAAATAAAGCTCTAAAAGCTTTGAAAGCTCTAAAATCTGAGCTCTAAAAGCTAAAATCATAATTTTGATTGTCTTTAGCTTTAGAGTTTCCAAGCAGTTTGAAGAGGTAGCAAGGATGGTATAAGAGCTAAAAGTGTTACTCTTTGACCAATGGTGATCCTAGGAATTGTTTAAAGGAAAAAAGAATAGTAGTCAGAGGTTAAGCACACAAAAATTATAGCAACTACTTTCAGAACAAAGAAAAATAGTTGACTGTCTGGTTCAAAATTGAATAGAATTCTGGTGTTGATTCTAATGAACAATAACAAAAAACAATTGAATCTTGTGATCAGTGGTCGATTTTTAGTGGTTGGTTGGTCGGTCAGTCACTTGTTTTCTGAATCCTGATCGATTGGTATCAGCAATCGGTAAAATCGATACCAACTAGACTACCGTATTCTCTCTAATAGTAGTGCACCCCGCCGAGCCGAGTGGATGACTATTTTACGGTTTCTAAGTTTTCACAGAAGCTCAACGCTCTAATCCCCCACAAGATCTCATCGTCAGCTACAAAAAATGGGAAAAACAATAGCATTTCGTGCATTCAGCACACTTAACAAAGACCAATTCTGAACATTTAACTTCATCATATTCAACAATATCGTCCTCACACTTTAGTTTAATTACCCAATTTTGAGGTTAGCGTTAACCCCAAGACTTGAGCTGTCTTGAGAAGATTTGAAACGCGTTCCCGCAAAGGAGGTGCATAAATGAATGTGGAAATTGAAAGTAAAGACGATTTCATGCTGTTCTTTTGCTCAACAGCTCAACACTCTAATTCTCCACAAGATCTCATCGTCAGCTACATTTTCGGACCCCACATCGATAGGTCCTGATAAGCGCTTTTCGAGATTTCGAGCAATTTAGGCAACGCTCAGGGTGCACTACTATTAGAGAGAATACGGTAATCAATGAGTTACATGCCTATTTCCGATAGATATGCTCTAAAGCCTCTGTTAGAATAGATATCAAAAGCTATTAGATTGGCAATAATCAACCGCACTTTATAGTCCTTTAATTTTACAAAGTAGACAGATCGCTGAAAGGTTTTTAGACATTTTTGAAATGGTTGAATGGAGCTAAAAAGAAAAAGAAAAAAAAAAACTGAAAACTTTCCTTCTTTCTGAAAGTAGTTGCTATAATTTTTTGTGCTTAACATCTGACTACTATTCTTTTTTCCTTTCAACAATTCCTAGGATCACCATTGGTACCATCCTATACCATCCTCGCTACCTCTTCAAACTGCTTGGAAACTCTAAAGCTAAAGACAATCAAAATTATGATTTTAGCTTTTAGAGCTCAGATTTTAGAGCTTTCAAAGCTTTTAGAGCTTTATTTCATTTCAAAAATGTATAATGTGCAATCCTGACTCTTTGTAAATTAAAATAAAAGTTCTATAAAGTCGGGTTTGCGAACTTAATAGTTAAACAGCTAATATCCTAAATGTATCAAATGTCAAAAGGTTAAACGACTTCTTATTAGCTTCTTGTTTGTTCTGAAACATATTAAACCAGACATTTTGAACCAGACAGTCAACTATTTTTTTAGTTAACTGATCCACAATCATCCGGCTTATCCGGTTCAATATTTTCAAGTTTTTTTGATTTCTGATGATAGTAGAATCTTTTACTTTGTAGCTTTGATTACTACATATTTCATAAGCTTAAAAGCGAAGCAGCTAGGATCGAACAACTACAAGTTGTTCGTTGTTCATAGTTGGGAATCGATATCATTAAATTTGTAAACTTTCAATCAATCAATGAACAATTTACCTCATTTTAGTGGCGTCATTCTATTACGGAATTCAACAACAAATACATTCAACCGGTATTGATGAGAAAACCGAGAACAAGAGGGAGAAAACTCCTTGAACAGTACACGACACTCACTGGCGAGGAACAGAAAAGAAAACTTTTGCAGTCGTTTCGAGTTTGAATCGTTGAAAGTAATTATTTATTGGCTTGAGTTCTAAAAATTTATAATAAATTATTCAAAAAGCCGGATTGAGTGAGCTTTAAAGTTTAGTTGTCATGTGGGAATCTGAAAATTCTTTGAGTTAACCTCACCAACAGTTGAGACTTGTATTTTATAGCTGACTTGCACTGTATTTAGGATTTGGGCTTAAAATCTAGCTCACTCTAGATGAATGGAAACTTTAGCTACAATACGAGTTGGAATTCTTGATTAGGGTAATAGATTGAATAGTAAACAGCTTTGGCTTTAGTCAAAGCTGTTTGACATAAGTTAACCGATAGTTGTGTAATAAGACAACAAATAAGCATCTATTATATATTTACTATATATAAAGAGACTAAGACGTCTGTCCGTCTGTCTGTCTGTCCGTCTGTCCGTCTGTCCGTCTGTCCGTCTGTCCGTCCGTCTGTCTGTCCGCCTGTCGGTTTGTCAGTCTGTCCGTCTGTCCGTCTGGCCGTCTGTCCGTCTGGCCGTCTGTCCGTCTGGCCGTCTGTCCGTCTGTCTGTCTGCTCGCTACTCCTCAGCCCTCAGAGGACCGTTTGCAATGTTTTTTGCGCCGTTAAATAGGGAATTACATGTAGTTGTGCAACGTTCTTTTAGATTTGTTAAGAAGCACAATTCGAGTCGCACGTGGAGGTCGAACCTGGATCGTATGGGCGATAGACCGGCGCGCTATTCACTGCTCCAGGGCGACAAAAGGCCTCGACCCCCAAAAAATCCAGAAAAACCCGCCGTTAGGCGTGTTTCTCGGCTGGTTATATATAAAGGGACTGTCTGTCTGTGCGCACTACTTCTCCGCGCGCAGTGGGGTGTTCAAATGTTTTATAGTTAGTTTGGCTTAGAATTCAATGTAGTTTAGCAACATGTTTTTAAATTTTTAAAAAACCAAAAATACCGACGCGGGCGGGAGTCGAACCCAGGTCGTGTGGACTAGAAACAAGTGCGCTCGCACTGCGTCATCTATGAAAGAACATGGCCAAGTGATTAACATGCGCGTTTTTCAAATGAACAGAGGTCGCGGGTTCGATCCTTCTCCCCGTTTTTTGATTTATCAACATTTGACAAAAGGTACAGAATGATTCACACTATCGAAGAATTGAGAATGAAGTGTTCTTTTTGGGGAAATGTAATTTGATCTCGGCTCGTTGGCTGAGGAAGTATAAACGTGCGATCACCCAAGTGTTGCCGTCGCAACATTTAAAACTACCTCAACCAATTGGGAGCCGATTTGGGAAAGGGTATGGACAGATGGAAAACAATGTAAAGTTAAACAAAGAATGTTCGGAAATTCAAATAAAAATTAGTAAAGAAATAAAACAAGTAAAGCCCTGGCAAATGATTGTAGGATATTTGATAAGCGCCCCGCCCCTTTTACCATTGGCAATCCAATTTTGAGCTCAAATCTCTTGGTGTTAGGTTGTCCAATTGAAATAGTTTTTGTACCAATCGACAGAGAACATCTTGGCGCATCTAATGATATTAAGAATATTTAAATTGGACAGCCCAGCACGAAGATATTTGAGTTCAAAGTTAGATTGACAATGGCAAAAGACAATGACGCGTACCAAATGTGGATAACTCCGGTAAATAGGTTCAGGCTTGGCTTCTGCCGAGTCCTGGTCCAGAAATTGTGGGCCAGCTCGGGTCAGACTTGAAACAAAGCCAGCTAGGCCAGCCTAGATCAGGAAAAGATCAAAACCTGGATTGTAACTTGGTCCTGGACTTATCTAACCTATCCTGGCTTGGAAAAAACTATTTTTGAACTAATCCTGATCTTTAAGTTGGGAAAATGGTAAGCCTTATTCAAAAACGAATCATGAGTCTGAATCATGAATCAGATCATGATTCAGAGCACAAAATCTACAAAATGAAAAGTTTTCGAAACTAATTTGCCAAGAATTCAGACCGGGTAAAAACTGTGACAAAATGAATTTCGATTTGAAAACCCCATTCCCTTATCAAAGTTAAAAGTCCCACAGGAAACTTGAAAAAAATGTGACTCAAAAGTTTCAATCAATATTGCCGTTGTTGTTGCCCTCGGAACTCACATAGGAAAGAGTACCGTAGTGACATAGCTAGTCTCTTTTTCTCTCTCAATCTCTGTTTCTTGTCCTTTGCCGATTGGTTTGGCCTCTCATTCACTCAACGAATAGTCATGAGATTTTCCTCATTTTTTCTTTCTTTCATTTTCTCAGCTGACTGAATGGTAAACGCTTTGGGTCTCAAGGGGAATCGAAAAAAAAGGATGATTCATTGTTGAATGGTAAAGTTTAACTAGTAATTTAACTAGTCTACAATTTCATAATTCAGTAAAACAGCTGAGCTGGTGTACTAAAGTAAAACCAAAGGCAAAGTAAAACCCTGTAACTCAAAGTACTTTGAAATTTGAACTACTAGGGTTGTAACTGAAAGTAGGACCTTTTAAATTGAAATTCTAGTAGTTTTATCTGTTGTAGTTTGCTATTTAGTACCCTGGTAGCAAAGTTAATGAGTAAATTTGATAAAAAGATGTCTGGATTGATTGTGATCTGATTCACAAGTCTAACATCTAACCAATGAATACTTTTTCTTTTACAATTTTCTTGTACAATTTTCTTTTACAATTTTTTCTTTTTACAATTTTACAATTACAATACAATACAATTTCCTTTTACAAAGTTTAACTTGCAAAATATATCACGATTAGATCATTAGATTTTAAAATAGATACAACTAGAAACTAAACTAAAACAAAGACGAAAAAATAGTTCAACTAGAAGATTCTAGAACAATTGAAACTATTTGAAAACGGTTTGTAAGAATTAGTTATTTCAGAATTTAAAACAGACTTCACTTCAGACTTCACTTACTACCACAAAACAAAGACAGTAACTATCCAGTTCTTACAGTAAGTAAAGCAGTTCTTACAGTAAGTAAAGCAGTTCTTACAGTAAGTAAAGCAGTTCTTACAGTAAGTAAACCAGTTCTTACAATAAGTAAAGCAGTTCTTACAGTAAGTAAAACAGTTCTTACAGTACAGTTCAAGTACAATCCTTACAGTAAAGTTATCTGTGTGATTACAGTAATTAGTGACTGTATACATGCTTTACTGTTTCAAAATCTGACTCAAAACTGATTCAAAACTGAAAAGAACCTACTTTTACGAAACTTACGAAACTTACGAAAACACAATGAATGATTTACGAGTTTTAACGAAATCGTAAAAATTGTGCAGAGGAAAAGTCAAGAATTGGATGAACAAGTAAATTTAGCCTCAAAATTGTCAAACTGTCAAACTATTGATCAAAAAGCTTTAGCTTTTCTCTTTATTTGAATCACAAAACCGCCGAAAAATCTTTTGATCTCTTCAGAATATGATTAGAGTGACTAAGAATAGACGCTTTTAGTTTTAAATGCATAAAGCTTATTATAAAGCTATTTTAAAGCTCATCGTGCTAGGAATTAATGTGAAAAATTGATTATTTGTTTTAAGTTAATGTAGCCAAAATGTAGAGCAAAATCTTTAGATCATTTATCTGCAAAGAGATTGCAAAAATATGAAATTTAAGCTAAGTTATGAATTTTTTTGTGAAGCAACTCGTTTTCAATACACTGAGAATTGCGACTAAGCGCTTTTCAATTTGCTTTTTTTTTAAACCCCCCAATAAAATTCTTTATATTTCTTTACTTCGAAGGGTTATTTTGATCAAAAATTTTGAATTTCGTCTTTTTTTGCAGAAAAACCGACAGTTTATAGGCTAAAATAAGGATTTTTAAAATGGAATGATGATCTTTACATATCCAGTATAAAATCAATTCTAAAAGGTTTCAAATTCGAGATCTTTTGCTTGATTTCCTCTACATTGAAAATTGAAGATCTTTTTGCTTTTTTTGCTGAAGTTACAACAACGTTTAGAAGTTTTTTTGGTACTTGTCGGTTATACATCCACAAAGACTCATCTCGGTTTAAAAATCCTTTTTTCTATAAGGCACTACAAGACAAGGCACTACAAAAACATACAATAATCTTGAGCTTTTTGAGTAAGCTATCGTAATTCTATCTTTCTAAAAGATATTCATTAGAAAAGCTAAGTAATCTAAAGGTCATTTTAAATTCTCAACTTAAACTCAAAATTCTAAAGCTTAAAATTCTTTCTACAAGTCACTCGGAAAAGCGACTGTATTCTAAGCTTCTTGAAGATCAAAGATTTAGAAAAGATTTCGGTACTTGTCGCTTATGAATCCACAAAGACTCATCTCGGTTAAGCATCCCCATCCGAGTCTTTTCGGTTATCGATTTTCGTTCGACTGATCGATTGATTACTTCAGACGAGCACTCTACTTCACTGAATATCAACACTCCTCACAAGTTGTCAGCTTCTTGCTTAACCGAGTTGAGTCTCTGTGGATGTATAACCGACAAGTACCGTTTTCTTTGACGGGAATATGGTTTGAAGTCTCAAAGGCTTTAAATGGGATCTTAAAAAATTGAGAGACCTAATTTTAATGCTTTCAGATTTAGAATACTTTTAAGATTCAATTCTGACGATTACTTAAAGCTACATTCAATTTTGAATTGGTTAAAGAAAGCAAGGAAGTCAAAAAAGAGGTAACTTCAACAGCTATTTTTCAAGTAGAAAAAGAAAAATATCAATTTATTGATACGAGAAGTTCCAGAGTTGGCTGAAAGTCTGAAAAATATTAGATATGTTGTTTTGAGATTGCAATTCCCATGAACTAGTCAAAAATCTAATTTTTAATTATTTTTATTACTCAGTGGTTGATTCTAGAACTTCGATAGAGAAGAAAAAGGATCGCTGACTTACTGATTGACCTTTCCAAATACTGAAGTGAATAAGCAGTATGTTATAGGCAGTGCAATTGTAGAAATTCTGTAGATAGCTTCTAATCTAGTACTGGGTGGCTGCTGATGAGATTTAGGGTACTGTTCATGTCTAAGTGAAGTGACATATTAGTTT